CCCCCCCTATCAGTACGCCAGCGTTCAGGGGCTCATGTCTTCTCACCCCTATAAGAAAAAAACGGACACGCTTTCCCATTCTCGCACAATATGTCCACGATATGCGCGTATCGCTATAATAGAGACCTCCATTTAAAATACCGTATAGGTGGCATGCGCAATGTTTATGAAATTTAATTCCTGTGAACTTTCCTTTTTCTTTGATTGGAATTGTATATGTGATTTAATTCAGGTTTTTACTATTGTTACGTTCTTTTGGATTAAAAATACAAACCATGTTTACTCCTTTACTGTTTTTTTTTTTTTTTTTTGGAGGGGGGGGGGCGTTTTGGGGGGGCAAAAATGCGTTTTGCCCCCCCACTTTTTTGACTGGGGGGGCAACTGCCCCCCCTGCCCCCCCCCACTTCCGGCGCCTATGACCATGGGTAACAGCAAGAGTTAAAACTATCATCCTCCAGCGACAATTGGCATTTCACAGAAATGAGCGATCTCTTTGGCGTCTCCTTCGAAACAAAGCTAAATGTTTGATCAATTTTGGTTTGATTAAAGAACAAAAAATTAGGTATTATAATACCAGAGTACGTAATCTAAAAACAACAAATCCTGCTGGCTGGTACAAACAAATTAAAATCCTTACTAACAGTAGGAAACATTGTGATGAACAAACTTCAATTTTCATTGGCGACAAAGCATTAATTTATGTTCATCAAGCCAAAGTCCTCGGAATTCTTTTACATTCAAACCTAAAGTGGGATAGTCATGTATCCGATCTCACAAAAAGGTGTAATAGGAAATTGTTTATGTTTCGTTGCCTTAAGAAGTATGGATTGCCTGTAGATGACCTTTTACTTATATATAAAGGATACATTCGTTCGATTTTAGATTATGGGGTACCGGTTTTTAATGGTAATTTAACAAAAACTCATGTATATACTTTAGAACGTATTCAGAAAAGAGCTTGCAAAATCATTTTAGGACGTCAGTATGAAAATTATGAAGAAGCATTGGAAACGTGCAATCTATGTTCATTAGAAGCAAGACGTAAGCAGTTATGTATAGACTTTGCAAATGCACTTGTCAAACACCCACAATTTAAAGAATGTTTACCTCTTAGACAACAAAGCACTTATTCTCTAAGATCTCAATCAAAGTTTAAACAATACCAATGTAAAACAAAACGCTTCCAGTGCAGCTCTCTTCCTTACTTTATAAATCTTTTGAATAAAACGTAATACCAATATTTTTAGAATTTCACAGTCCATGATTGAACTATGTGAATGAATTTTGATAGTTTTCTGCATTACTGAATGCTTCTTGCCATCTCCCCTCATCTGTCATGATAAGGTACCCTTTGTCTGTCTCTTCCTCTCTTCAACTCTCTCTCTCTCTTTATCTCCCTCTCTATCTCTTTCCGTCTTTCTCTCCCGTCCCCCTTCTCCCTCTTTCTCTCCTTCTCTCTCTTTGTCATCACTCCAACTCTCCCTCTCCTACACCTCTCCCTATCTCTTTCTTTTTTTAACAAAAATTTGAATCTGATCAATAAATTTTTATGAAATGTCTATATGTTTGATTATTGATTTATGTCATATTTTGTGTTATTTCAATTTGAATTGCAATTGTATTGTATATAACCTTGTGAAATGGATCGCAATTCAGCCATTGGCTGCGATGATCTTTTTAATAAAAACCATTTCTATCTATCTATCTATTACAAAAATGGTCTATTTTCTTTACGATTTGCTTATTATACAGGGCCCACAAAACTAACTCAGGCTTCCATTCATTCACGGATAAAGTAGGGAAAAATCAAGATAGATAGTTTATTAGCTTCCGCAATATCTCATTTTACAAAGAGTACAAAGAGTATAATGTAGATGTACATAATTATAGAAAACCGATACACACTGTTCATATACAGTAATTTGTCCTTCAGTTGAACTTAAGAGATATAGTGGCGGAGCCTATATGGAAAAGCAGAGCTTGTTGTGGATATAGGCTCCTTAAACTACAAATGACAAAAGTTAGGTTTATAAAATACAAATACACGCTAAAACAGGGTAAGGGAGATTACAGGGATCCATGAACTGATACTCACAATTAACTACAAAATACAAGGGAAAGGGAAAGGAATATAATATGCAGCTTATTGAAAAAATATAGTACAATGTAGTTTTTTTCTCAATATGAGTAGAATATATGCATAGTTGGCATGGAGAATAATGATGAATTATATATTCTATCTGTCAAAGACAATTTAAGCCATCTCAAACCGCACAAAGTCAAACTTCTACTGCAGGAGTATGAATAAAATCGAGAAGCCTATGACTATATTAAACATGGTTTACGTTCTTAAAAAGGTACAGAGGAAAGTTAAAAGATTTGATATGAATGTCTTTAATCAATTGTAACAATCTCTTGACTGAAACAAGAAAGGTATAAGAATGCTTAATTTTACAAAAATATGTACGTGTTATAACTTACCCCCCCCCCCCCAAAAAAAAAAAATAAATAAATAAATAAATAAATAAAAAAAAAAAAAAAAAAAAAAATAAATAAATAAATAAAATAAAAAAAATCGTTTATGATTATCGCTATCAGATTTACTCATATATCATTTGCCATTATTTATGCAAAACACAAGCAGGTAGATTATCAACATAAAAGATTTTATATACATCACCGTTTGTCATTTTCTAAACATTTAATATTATTTGAAGTAATGTATAATCACATACTTGTACAATTATATGACTTTGTATTGTTTCCATATATCTTTCATAATTATTTCCATACGAGAGAGGGAAAGAATAAAATGCCTGCAAAAGGATACATTGACACCAAGAATAAGGATTATCAATTCATATGCGATCAAGACATGTATATGCTTGACACGTAAGTGATCAAATTGACTGGCTAGTAATATATTTCAAATACCTGAGGCTTTAGAAGGAAGTTTTCACTTCTAGATGGTACCTATATAGACTAACGATAAATTATAACTATTAAGTCAAACGAATACCCGTGATTCCTATCCTTAAACATGAAAAGTAAAGGAAGATGTAATATTTTAGGTTTAGGTTTAGGCAGGTTACTCTATGGAAGCAGGTTACTATAGCAGCAGGTTACACTTTATCAGCAGGTTACTCTATAACAGCAGGTTACACGTTAGCAGGAGGGTACACTTTAAAGGTACTCAGTGTCCCTTTTGCAGCCAACACCAAATTCTGTAGAACTTTGCAGGAATTATGAATATGTCATAATTCTTATCTGTAAAATTTAAACATTAGCAGTGTCCTAGTACTCAAATAATGCAAGGAAACCCGTTAACCTTCTAGACTTCACTGTCAGACACTATTGAGTGACTTACTGACATCTTTTTCTTTGGTAATCAAGCAAGATTGCAATTACGTAAGTCGATTCGACAACTAATGGTCGTTATTTTCCCACTAAAACCAATTTTTAAGCCCTTTCGTTTTGAGGGAAGTGCTAAATTAGTATTGTCTTTCAAATGACGTTGAAATTTAATCTTTTCATTTTTTGTTGGCCTGCAAATGGGACATAGTACCTTTAACAGCAGGCTCCACTCAAACATCAGGTTACGCTTTAGCAACAGTTTACACGTTAGCCAGTGGCGGATCCAGCCGTTCGCGAGGGAGGAGGAGGAGGGGGGGGGGGGCTGCCCATTTCCTGAGATTTTTGGTTCGTTTCTTGCGATTTGGGTAGCGGCTTCGTGTGATAGATACACACACCCTCAACTCGAGTGCGGATAGATCATTATAATGAACTCATGCGCATGCATATTTTGTATAATAACTTATCCGCTGAAGTGAACTTTTTTTTCAGTTACTTAGGCGTTTAATAGTTTACGGTATAGCGAAACGTTACACTTTAGCTGCTAAGGTAAACAAAATATATTAAAAAACGTTAAAGCGAAACCCGACGCCTACATTTCTGAAAAAGAAGTTCACTTCAGCGAACGGGCATCGCATACGTCACTACCACGACTGAATTATAAAAATATACTAGTTGAATATGATCGATTTTCAGTAGAATGAGAACAAAAAGAAAATAATACCAAATTGCACAAATTGCATTTTTAGCCTCTCAGACCGTCTGGTCCTGCAGTTGGAGTTCAAAATTATTATACGCTATATTTAAAATCCAACAAGTAATAAGACTTGCCCTCGCATTATATAAAACAAGTGTGTGCCACGGACAACGGGACACAGGGTTTGATCTTCACAATGCAATACTTGAGCTTTATGATAAGGTCAAAAACATGGGGGGGGGGGGGGGGTGGGAGGACATTCGATATTGTGTCCCCCACCCTTGAATTGTTTTATTTATTTATTTATCATTATTATTATTATTTTTTTTATTTTTTTTTTGGGGGGGGGGGGAGGGGAGACATGTCCCCCTGTCCGTCCCATGATTGACGCCCGTGATACAAAGTGATAATGAACATGGTGGACATAAATCAGTATCGCTTATTTATTAATTCCCAGTATATAAGGAGGAGGCGCGATAGCTCAGTCGGTAGAGCAGTGGTCTCGTAATCCGGTGACCAGGGTTCGAAACCAAGGCTATGCGCTAGTGCCCTTTGGTAAGGCAGTTATCCTCATTACCAGGTCCCTCGGAGACGACCTAAAGCCGTCGGCCATGTGGTTGCTTACTTACAAGCATTTATGCTTCCTTAGCAGTCAGGTAAAATAACCACCATCACCATCATAAAATGAACATTGCAAGATATCAATATAAAAAGTAAAACGGTGAAACGTATGGAACTAAACTAAACTGAATAATGCCGAACGGGGGAAGCGTATACAATACTTAAATTCATATTCTCCGTATCCGGACACCTACCCCCGGACAACTACCCCCTGACAAGCCAGACAAGGGGTAGTTGTCCGGGGGATAGTTGTCCTGGGGGTAGTTTTCTGGGGGATAGTTGTCCCGGGGGGGGGGGGGGGTTCTTAGAGGGTGGTTGCCCTTGGGGGTAGTTGTCCTAGGGGGTAGTAGTTATAGGAAGTAATTGACTGGGGTGGTTATTCGGGGATGGATGTCCAGGGGGTAGGTGCCCGAGAACCCATATTCTCATATTCATGTATCGAGGTCATGATCAATATGTGATTTTATACTCAAGTACTTTCGGGGGCGAGGTGCCCGCATACTTTTATCTTTTCTAGTGTGCTGATATCAACATTTTTCTCCATTCTAGTGCCCATACTTATGTACATGACACTTGATGAGTGCTATAGAGTGATGCAAAATGAATATTATGTGATGAATTTTTGATTGGGGTGACGCGAAACTATGGTGCTGTGACAAAGAAAAGGTTAAAAACCGCTAGTCTAATATCAATTATAAGTTTTCCTGCAATTCGTATTTGGTATTGAGCTTCTTTGCCTCCTCAGTATTGTGGTTTTCGTCATGAAAGCGGTTCAGTACATCCCACTTCTTGCTGAGGTAGCCCCTCTTGAAGACCAGCCAGACGCCATAGGATACGGCGATGGTCGTGATCAGCGAACACATCATGGCCAGTGTTCGGAAAGGGAAGAGCTGACCTTTTTCCTCGTCGTAGAAAGGGTAATAAATGAAAGGCGGGAGGCTGATTGCCTTCTCACCACCGCCGAGGCGGAGAATGAGGCCGATGATGAGCCCGGGGATGAGGCCGTAGGTGTTCGCCTTGGGCACGTGAATGACGCAGATCAGCTGAGGGAAGAGGAGGACGAATACGAGGTCGGAACAGAGAACGAAGAGAGTGTAGATGGAGCTGAGTGTCAGGGCTAGAAGTGTCGCGAGTCCAGTAACAACTAAGATGGTCACTCGCAACACCCAAATCAGTTCCTTATCAGAAGCCTGTTAAAAAAGCAACACAAACAAAAATGGAATAATGACATTTTTTAGTCGTTATGATGTGATATTCAGTCGTCAATGTGTTAATGTATGCGACTTCGAGAAAATGTTTAGATGTAAATCTACGAAATGATGGTCTCATTAAGTGCTATTTTAATTGGTTTGATGAGAAGCCCGTCTTAATCTGATCGGCGTGATGAGCGGACGTGTTATGACCTAGCTCTCTCCAACAATGAGCTAAACTGAGCTATACTGGAAATATTACCTCGAAAACCTCGAAAACAAGAACTGTTTATCGTTACATGGACTACCGCTTGTAGAAATTGGACCCAAAACCCTTGATTTACCAGCAAAACATCAGTAAAAATGCCTACAAGATCAGGAAAGCCAAGACGAGAAGCTGCAGCAAACAACGGGACACACCCAACCATTGTCCCTACCCAAGGTGCCGTGGAGAGCCCACCAGCTCCCGCTGATGTATCGGGCGGTACAAAGGAACCCGGTAAACCGGCGCCAATTCACGCATCGGGAGATCACGTGACCAAGCTACGAAGCCCCGCGGCGCCAGAATCTACTTCCGTAGAGCCCGATGCTGAACTCAATTTAGCCATTCGGCAAGTATTAGAAAGTCTTCTCAAAGACGACGAATTTGTGAATCAGCTCACTCGAACAATTCAAGGAAAGCTTCTGAATGATTTAAAGGAGTCAATTTGTCAAGAAGTTTTGGACTCGTTGGAATTTAATTCTGCAAATCAAGGGGATGTGATGGCGGCGATGAGAAAGGAAATAGACGAATTAAAGGAAGTTAATGATGATGCTGAGCAGTACTCCAGACGTACATGCCTTGTGATAAGTGGTGTACCTGAGAGGATGAATGAGAATACCGATTCCAGAATCATACAACTCTGCAAGGAGGACCTCGGTGTCGATATCAAGATGGATGACGTCGAACGTAGTCATCGACTTGGGCAGCAGAAACCCCAAAGCGACGGATCGACGAAACCGCGCATCGGGACGACCAACTATAGCCACACACCCAGGAATATCATCGTTAAATTCAATAGCTATCGCACCCGAGAGCAAGTCTACAGTGCACGATTCAAGCTAAAGAATCTTAGCGATGAGAATAATCACCATGTCTACATCAATGAAAGCCTCACTAAGAAGCGGAAAGAACTACTCTGGAAGGTTAGAAACAAATTCAAGAAAATCATTGATAAGACATGGACACAAGATGGACGTATCTGCATTAAACTGAAAGAAGGAAAAGGAAGAGTGAATGTCACAAGAGAGAGAGACTTAGACAAACTGAGCGTATATATGAGAAATTCTGCTATATAATTTGAACTGAGTGTTTGAGCCTCCACCCACAGATGGTGGTGCTGGAGAAATTATTCATGAACTTGTATGTACCTGTTTGCCATTTCGAAACAATTTACTCTTTGTAACAAAATGGAGGTATTATTAGAGATCAAAATTATCCCAAATTAATGCCAGCTTGGCTCATGTTGAGAATTTCAAGCGTTATATTCAATTTAATTGAGAAGGAGACGAACGTTATTTCAAATTAATTGTAATTATATTTCAAGTTTTTTTGTGTGTCCTATTTCATCATTTTAACCATGGTCAATGTCTTTCCTTGTAATATATGTGAGAAACCCGTAAAGTGTAATCAAAAAGCGCTACTTTGTACTAAATGTAACCAATGGATACATATTTCATGTGGAGATGTATCTTCCAAACAATATGATGATAAAACTGAACAGTTTCACAATTGGCAATGTACCAAATGTATTTTCCTAGAAATGCCGCTTTGGAATGTTGAGGATATAGTAAAAGATAGAAATGTGAGCTTGAACCATACAAATTCTGTTGATATAGACATTGACTTAAGTACGAATACCTGTACCTCTATAAATGACTTTCCAAAGGGTAAAGGATTGAAAATTGCACATTTAAATATTCGTAGTCTTAGAAATAAGGTGGATGATCTGCAATTATATTTGAAAGAAAATCCGTACGAAATTCTGACCTTGTCAGAAACATGGCTAAGTGAAAACATTTGTAATTCATTGTTACAAATTGATGGGTATCATTTTGAAAGACTAGATAGAGACGAAAAGGGAGGAGGAGTTGGATGTTTTATACAAAAAAATATATCATATATTAGACGACCTGATCTTGAAGACCGTGAGTTAGAAATTATGTGGCTAGAGATAAGACTACACAATCACAAACCAAAGTATCTTGGAGTTGTATATCGTCCACCTAACAGTAGAAGTGCTTTTTTCAATAACCTAGAAATTAATTTAGAAAATATATGTATGTTATCAAATGATATTGTAATATTAGGTGATTTAAATTGTAATATGTTAACTCAGAATAATCTTTCAAAGCAGATACATGATCTGAGTGACAATATGCATTTGTCTCAGCTGATAAGGACCCCGACACGTATAACCGTTAATAGTACAACCCTTATTGATCTAATTCTTGTGTCAAATAATTTGAAATCACTGGAGAGTGGCACACGGTCTATCGGTCTAAGTGATCATTTATTGATATACCTTGTATTGAAAGAAAAACCACCGCCTTCTATATGTTCTGTGAGTACCTACCGTTCATTTAGAAACTTTAATGAAATTTTTTTCAAAAATGATGTTAAAGATATAAACTGGGATAATTTGTACTTAAACAATCACAATGTTGAGAATATGTGGAATATTTTCAAATGTAAATTCAAAGACATTTGTGATCTTCATGCACCGTATGTCACAGTAAGAAAACGTTCTAGGGGGTCACCTTGGATTACCAACGAATATTTATGTATCGCAAGAGATAGGAATTATTTTAAATGCAAATTTGATAAACACAGAACTACAGACTACTGGGAAAAGTTTAAAGAATTCAGAAATAAGGCAAATGTACTGAACAAGAAGTTAAAGAAACAATATTATAAGAATCTTTGCATTGAAAATGGTAATGATATGAAAAAATCCTTGAAAGTACTCAAAGACTTACTCCCAAAGAAAGATGCCAATTCTGATCATAAAATTCTTGTAAATGACCAAATTGTAGTAGACAAAGAAAAAGTAGCAGAATTGTTTAATGAAAGTTTCAATAATATTCAAAGCCAACTAACAGGAGCGAATGATTCTCATCTCAATATAAATGCATTGCAAACATTACCGCAAACAGCACATGAATTCAAATTTACAGAGATCGAGGAATGTTTTGTATTAAAAGAACTACTCAAGCTTGATGTTTCAAAAGCAGTTGGTATTGATGATCTTCCTCCAAAGCTACTTAAAATAGCTGCCCCACATATTGTTAGAGTCTTAACAGTATTGTTCAATTGTTCATTGTCAAAAGGGTACGTTCCTCATGACTTCAAAGTTGCTAAAATAACCCCTATTCATAAAGGTGGAAACAAAATGGAATTAACTAACTACCGACCTATTTCCATTCTCCCCACAATGTCAAAGATATTTGAAAAAGCAGTGCACAATCAGATATACTCTTACTTAAACAAACATTCTTTGTTAAGTGAACGGCAATCAGGTTTTAGACCAGGGCATTCAACTCTAACATGCTTGACTGAAATAGTCGAAGGTATACTTGACAATATGGACAAAGGTCTGGTCACTGGAGCCATTTTTCTTGACCTGAAAAAGGCGTTCGACGTTATACCACATCCATTGATTATTAAGAAAATGTTATTGTATGGTATTGGGGGAGTTGAACTTGAGTGGTCCGAATCCTATCTATCTAATAGGCAACAATGTGTATTCTTGCAAGGGACTAAGAGTAATTTTCTAACTGTGAAATCAGGAATTCCACAAGGATCAATACTGGGGCCATTAATTTTCTGCCTCTATGTGAATGATATTTGTAACCTGCAACTCCATTCTAAGACAAAGATTTCCTTATATGCCGATGACACGGCAGTATTTCATCATGGAAAGGATTATAAAGTTTGTGAATACAATCTCCAAAAAGATTTTACCCGTATCTTGAAATGGCTAAAATACAATGGACTGTTTTTAAATGCAAATAAAACCAAAACAATACTATTTGGTTCCAAAAGAAAAATTCAAAATAATAATATTTGTATTCGTTACAGTGACAATGTACTCGACTCAGTCGAAAGTATGAAATATCTAGGTGTAACACTAGACAAAAGCTTAACATGGTCGTTACATGTAAACGAAGTTGTTAAGAAAGTATCGGGTACGATTGCCTGCATTAGACGTATACGCAATTATATTTCCCGTAAGAATCTTATTACATTATACTTTTCTCTTATCCTACCGCATTTAAACTACTGTAATTCAGTATGGGGAAATACTTCGAAACAAAATCTAACAAAGTTGCAAAAATTACAAAATAGATATGCACGATTAGTTCTTCGTGCCGAATATTTTACACCCCAAAATGTTTTAATGAGTAAATTGAAATGGCGGTCATTAGAGGAAAGAATTACATATCAGAAATGCATCTTGATTTTTAAAATCATAAACGACCTATCACCACCATATCTTAATCCATGTATAAGTAAAAGACCGATATTATATTCTACTCGTTATGCTTTAAACAGTCCATTATTCATTCCAAAGTGTAAAACAAATTTTAAAACGAAAACCTTAGCGGTTTCAGGAGCTAAAATATACAATAAATTACCCTATCATATTAAAAATTGTAAGTCGCTGCAAAGTTTTAAAAAGAATGTCAAAACCTTTCAGTTTCCCTTGTAAACATATTTTCACGTTAATTTGACCTTTATTTATTACATTTCATTCATCTAGTTTTTTCAATTTGATAGTTGTATTTTTTTTCCTTATAATTTATTGTTAATGCGTGTTTTTCGTTACCTATGTTTAATTATTGTATATACCATGTATATTTTACCTTTGTATGTATGTTTTGAATTCATGTTATTATTGTACATGTTTTTTATGTGAATACAGGGCTCTCTGGGAGAGCAGGCTCAGAAATGAACTTGAATGAGACCACCCTGTTAAAATAAAACTATAATAAATAAATAAATAAAGGTTTGATAAAACCGATTTGCTTTGGAATATCTATTGCTGCCCAAAAGCGTCGGCAGCCTTTACCAGGGGCACCCCAAGCGAACGTGTCGACGAATTGGTCATGCATAGTAGGCTTATTATTTGCTCATTGTGAAGGCAAAATTTATAATTGCCCTCACTGCTTGTCCCCTCAATCTCCATGCCTTTGGATACGCCAGCGTGGACCCCCCCCCCCCCCCCCTCCTCGCTCTCTCTCTCTCTCTCTCTCTCTCACACTCTCTTATCTAGCAATGAAGAACTTATAGTTTTTTTCTTTTATTATGATGAAGACCGAGTAGTCAAATAGTTTAATATGCACGTTTCCTTAAACTTTAATTTGCTAGTTTGCAGGCACAAACCATTGCCAGTCGTTGTGCATTATCTGAACGATACGATACCCAGGGATAAACTCACAACTATTAGATGATACAACCATACACTGACAGAGCTAGGCTCGGCTCAAGGTTTTAGGACTTGTGTGTTTAAGTGTCACACAAGAGTCTGCCTCCTGCCGATGTATTTTCTCTTCAGGATTTCCACGAAGCTATCATCCTACACTTTTACCTTTGGTCGGAAGATGTTGGAATAGATATTCCTTACGAACATGGAGCTGGAGGAAAGGACCGACGAATCGGTCGATGACATGACCGCTGCTGAAACAGCGCCCAGTCCCATGAAAGCGACCACGGGAGGGGTCAGGTACTGAATAATGAGAGGAAGGACCATGCTGGGCGTCTCGTACGGGTCGGTCTTGTTTAAGTTGAGGCCCGTCATCTCCCAGTCTAAACATGGAGAAACAATTATTTGTCTTTATTTCACATTTTAAAAGATTGTAAAAAAATGTAAAAGAATAAGATAAAAATAGAAAAGATTTTCTTAGCTGGATGCACGAGTTCTTTTTTTTTAATTATCTATTTTTGTTTGTAAATTTAAAGATTGTTTATAGATTGAAACATATTTTTTTTCAAGTCAAGAAATTTATATGTTACAAAAATTATGTTTGTCATAATTTTGAGGATCCACATTTTACAAGCTTTGCTTTTCAGTGGATCCTTCCATTTCCACAGGTTTATCTTAAAAAACTTCTTTAAAACCCATACTGGATATTTATGTATACTTTCTATTTCATAATTTTAAACCATGTAAAATGTATTATATTATTGAATGTTGAATTGTATATTTTTAATTTCTTGTCAAAATTACGGTTCTGTAGGAAAAATGAAAAATAAAACTGAAACTGAAACATGCATATAACACTACCTCATGATAACAAAATGATAGTTATGACGTTGCTAATTTCAATTAGGTTATTATTTCAGATCGAATCTTGTTCACATTATAAGGAAATAAGAATTTACTGTCAATAGAGAGTAACAACAGCAGGGGCGGCGATCCCGGGGGACGGGGGACACGTCCCCCCCTCGATTTAGTAGGAGGGGATCGTCCCCCCTCAAAATTTGAAAAAGTGCACACAAAAAAATGTATAGCAAATACTGACTAAAGACTGCAACACACTTTTAGGCTCTGGAGGGCCCAAGAGGGCAGTGTTTAAACAAATAAAAATGCAAAAATCTTCTCACTCAGTAGCTACGCTCCCTCGCATAATATCCTTCAAAATGAACAAGTAAATACCGAGAAAATTGAAGAGTGAAAAATGGTATATTGCTAACGTTTATACTATAGTTTTGCTAAGGAATGTAATTTTGTAATACAACAAAACGACAAAAACCTGTGAGGGGGTAGTCACTTCCGTCACATTCACCCCTCTCATTCACTATGCTCCCTCGCATTTGCGTACTGATGGGGGCGGGGCGGGGGGGGGGGGGGTGGTGGCAATTCCCCCAAAAAGAAATTCAAACGTGGTTTATTTCTAATTCGATACCAGTGATTTACAAATGTTGTAGAAATGACATGATTTTTCCCTGACCTTCCGGGTGCCCTGCCCCCTGGACCCCACCAAGGGCCTTAAAGCGGCCCCTTGATGCTCATCTGATCGTAATTTAATGCCTAAAACCCCTGAGCTTCTGGGGGCTCCGCCCCCTGGACTCCACCCCAATAAGTGACCTGCATGCCAGTGTCACAAATAAGGTATAAAAATATGCTCATCTGACCGTAATTAAATGCCTAAGACCCCTGAGGCTCCGCCCCGAGGATGCTCGTCTGACCTTAATAAATGCCTAAAACCCCTGAGCTTCATTAGGCTCCGCCCCTTGACACCCGCCGGGGCTTTGCCCCTGGACCCCACGCCAATGTACGCTCCGCTCCGCTTTGCTTTGCTCTACCTGATCGTAAATACTTTAGCCCCCTCCCCCCCCCCCCACTTTGAAAAACGTTCCCAGGGCCTGCGTAACGTGTCAGAGTGGAGGTGTCCCTCGCATTTCGCCCCCCCCCCCCCCCGGGTCATGAAAAGAAATCGCCGCCCCTGCACAACAGGGTGACATTAGATTATAAAATGATACCATCAAATCATAACAGCACAACAGTAACAACAGGATGTATTTAAAACAAAAATAATGAAATACCCGTACACACGGTTATAGGCTTTTGATTAAAAAAATCAACCCTTTAACAATTCACTCCTCTGCGTATATATGCCCAGAGTGAACACTAACATACATTAATGTGTATAACATTCTTATAAGGGAAGAACCCCACAAAGGGAAGAAGACAGAGGCGGCGGAGCGACTTCCAAAGTGGGGGGGGGGGGCACCAACAAAAAAGGGCACTTTCTGGAGAAAAAAGGGCACCTACAAAGGGAAATCTCAAAGCGAAAATATACAATTTTTAGACATTGGTATATACCCCTATAATTTGATTACATTATCAGGGAGGATGTCAATATTTGTTTCTCTTTATACATTGTATAAAATATTGCTTAAGCATCATACCTTGCAGTTGGGTGTGATGGTCGAAAAAATCATTTGCGAGCGAGCAAAGCGAGCGAGGAAAAATATAAGATTTGTGAGGTGGCAGTGCGAAACTACATCTTATAAAGAGGAAAAAACCAATCCTCATCGGGTTATAAATAAGCACATTCTCATAACAGTAAAACTGAAAAGACCCTTGATAATTAACATAATTATAACATCTATAAATGTGAGCGAGCATAGCGAGCGATCTTTAGGAGATATTGTTCTTAGTCGCTTGAAGTTAGGGACACGTTTAATGATGAGAGGAAAAGGAGACACTTATCGAAGGAATAAGACACTTATTAGAAAATAAAAGGAACACGTGTCAAAGTACAAAGGGTAATTATCAGAGGTGAAAATGGGGCACTCACTAGGGATGAAAAGGCACTTATGAGATTGGAAATTGGGCATTTGTCGACGGAAAAGAGGCAACCATCAGATTTTGATAGGGGCATTTTTGAAAAAGGGATAGGTTCCTCATAAGAAAGGAAAAGGGGCACGTATCATTGTTAAAAAGGTTAACTTTATCAGAGGCACTTATTGCATCTGAAAAGGGGCACACACCATATATGAAAGAGGCACTTATGATAATCAAAAAGGGGAACTAATAATAAGGGGAAATGTGCATTTGTTGAAAGAAAAGGAGCACCGATCAGATTTTGATAGGGGCATTTATTGGAGGTGAAAGGGGGCTTTTATGAAAAGCGGATATTATGAAGGAATAAGAGCATTTATTAGGAAGGAAAAGGGGCACGTGTCAAAATAAAAGGGGGTGTTCTTAGAGATGAAAAGAGCACTTATCAGGAGAAAAGGGGGGCACTTGTCAAAATAAAACGAGTATCTCTCATAACTGAATAGGGTCATTTACCAAACATGAAAAGGGGCACTAGTAGGAGAATGAAAAGGACTATTTTCATAGGTGAAAAGGGGCATTTATGAAAAGGCGAAGGGCTCTTTGTTAAATGGGGGCACTTATCATAAGGAAAAGGGGCACTTATTAGAAAGGAAAGGGGACACATGTGAACATATAAGGTGTGCTTATCCGAGTTAAAAGAGGTAGTTATTAAAAGGGAAAGGGGCACTTCTTACAAAGGAAAAAGGGCAATTGTCAAAGTAAAAGGGGCACCACTAAGATTTGAATAGGGCAATTATAAGAGGTGACGGAGGCGCTTAACAAAAGTGAAAAGGGGCGCTTCTCGTACCGGAAAAGGGGCACCTACTAGAGATTAAAAAGGGCACTTATGAGAATGGAAATAGACACTTATTGCAAAGGAAACTGGGAACTTGTCAGGGAAAAGAGGTACGTGTCAAAATAAAATGGGCACATATCAGAGGTGGAAAGGGGAGGGGGCACTTTAAAAACTTAATAGGGGCACATATCAAAGTAATAGGGGCACTTTTTATGTAAAAAGGGGCGTTTCTTACAAAGTTAAAGGGGCACTTTTCCTATGGAAAAGGGGCACTTTTTGGGTACTTGAAAAAGTGGGGGCACTGTGCCCCTCCCCCCCCCCCCCCCGGGCCCGCCGCCTCTGGAAGAAGAAGAAGAAGAAGAAGAAGAAGAAGAAGAAGAAGAAGAAGAAGGGAAGAAGAAGAAGAAGAAGAAGAAGAAGAAGAAAAAGAAGAAAGGGACGATGAGGAGGGGGGGGGGGGGGAGACGAAGGAGAAGAAGAGGAAGAAGAAAAAAGAATGAGAGGAGAAGGAAAAGGACGAAGAAAACAAAAGAAGAAAGAGAAAAGAAGAAGAAAAAGAAGAAATAGAAGAAACGAATCTATACGTATCCTAAAATCTAAAATCTACGGTCGGCTTTTAGTTCAACAAAATAAATACTTTAGTATTAGTTGAAGCAGCATTATTATTCTTATGACAATTATTATCATTACTCACCAGTGCTTGCACCGACTGCACCCAAGATATAGGCAGGGACGGACATCACGATGCATCCAAAGAAAGCAGCGAACGACAAGTTGGCGGCAAGTCTCGGGGTCTTGGCTGCAAGGGCTCGCTGGTAGTAGGCCTGCCATGGCACGCCGCCAAATATCTGGATGATTGAAAGATAGAGAGAGGGGGAAGAGTGATATACAGAGAGAGAGAGAGAGAGTGAGATAGATAGAGAAGAGGAGAGGAGAGGAGAGAGAGAGAGAGAGAGAGAGAGAGAGAGAAGAGAGAGAGAGGGGGGAGGGGGGGGGGGGAGAGAGACAGAGAGAGGCAGAGAGAGAAGAGGAGAGGGGCAGATGAAAATTCATCTTCATTGAATATCAGCTACATGGCCCTTCAACTGTTGGTAGGGCCATTGAATGCCTTGACATTTATTAATATAAAGGAATTCGAAGTGTCAAGTGAATGAACAACTATACAAATACATCGTATACTATTCGTATACTTCCGAGAAAAAAAAACGAATTAGACTTGATATTTCCATAGGTTCACAATTCCGAAAATGCAACAGAACCATAACATCTATGTGTAATTATGAACCCTAGGTATTATTATTATTTTTTTGAACTACGAACCATCGGAATAATGAACTCTGCTTCGTATTCGGAACCATGAACTTTCTGATAAATGCACCTGAAGAGTAATACAACAACAACAAAATGTAATGGTGAATGCTATTTCATTTTCGTAATAACGAATATCTTCAGATAAACAAACCATCAGAGTATTATTCAGATAATTACGAACGTTCGGAATATTTATTACTAAAACGAAGAAAGAAAACTTCAGGAAATCGAGTGCCGCTATACCCTCCCTGCAGGTTTAAAAAAAAATAATAATAATAATAATTATATATGTATCTGAAAATTTTTGCCCCCCCCCCAAAAAAAAAAAATAAAAAAAAATAGTGGTCCTCCTCTCCAGCATCCTCCGCTTATTCCCCTGGCCAGCTGAGTCGGCGCATAATGATTCCTCAAAAACTGGGCTAATATATATATATATATATAAATATATATATATATATATATATATATATACGTGCTCTTACACCCCCCCCCCCCCACCCGCTTATTCACCGGCCGGCTGAGTTGGCGCAACAATTTTTCTCAAGATTTGCCCCCCCCCCCTTCTTGCCGCCAGCTGGATCCACCCTTGGGTTTACATACCAGTAGCATCCACTTATCTAGCCATACTCCAAGCATGTCGGTATCCCATTCTCCGAGCCACTCAAATTTGGTTTCAGACAGGGGCGCCACAGCTTCATTGGTCATAGCAAACGGTATTGATAACCACTGTAATGAATAAAGAAGATAAAGATAAATCATAATATGCGGTCTATGCGAATTATATCAAACATTCATGAATATAATATTTGCAGACCTTAGTTGTAGGCTAAGCGTGCGTCCAGCTATTGAATGGCCATCTGATTTTAGGTTATTCAATAATTGAGGTAGGGTGTATAGGAGGGATCCGTACTCTTCTGTTCACGTTCCCTTTTAAAATTTCTTCTCAAAATAATCTTGTGTCCCCCCCCCCCCTTACCTAAATCGTTGGGGCACGCGACTCGTGTGCACGCTGACTATAAGCCACTGACTATAGCGATAGTGGTCGTAAAAACTAAGTAAGAGAAATAAATCTGTAAAATTCGAGATGAATCGGAAGAGGAACAGAAGCTACAGCTGGATAACTTCTTCACATGTTATTATGTCCACACGTCATGTAACAAACTCATTTTTCCTGATATGGGATCAACTTCCTTTTGAAACTCTGATAGTAAAGATCATGAAGATGTAACGGCAGCAGATCATAGTGGCTTCGTGCAATGAAGACGAATAATCTTACATAATGGTCCACGATGCATTCAGAAAAAGGAATTTTTCCGACTTGTCGTATTACATTCGAGCAGCTTTACTCACAGTATAGAAATGTTTCAAATTGAACTAGACATTAAATTCGTCACCTCGACGAATTAGGTGATCTGCCGCTTTGATCGATACATAAGATATGTAAAAACACAAAGGGAGATTTGGTCCTTAAAAAACGAATTCCAACCTCCACTCATATAACGAGCCTATGTACAAGCTCATTTAGTAATCAAGGATGTATAAATGAGTGTGCTGACTATTGTTTGGTATAACCCTGTTGCCATGAAATTAATTACAAGATTAGGAGAACAAACAACAGAATAACACGTTCATAAAGTTAAATAGCTAGATCACCTAATACGGGGGCGGCAATCTACAAGCTCAGCTTTTCACCTCCACGACCAACCTGTTTTATATGCCTGTTGTACACTGTGGACATATTACAAATATATTGTTAAGTTTCATTGTTTTACTATGTACAATGCAATCCCGTGTACTTTATTTTATTTTGTTGGAAATGGAAATAAACGAAATTTAAAAAATACTTCTTACAAGACCGATGAACATGAGCACGAGTTGTACGATGTCAGTGTAAGCTACCGAGTAGAGACCTCCAATGAAGGTATAGACCGCGGCGATACAGGCTGATATGATAACAGCTAAATTCTGGTCGAGTTCCAGGATAACAGCGATTGTTGAACCTTACAGATGTCAGATGAGATAAATAAATATGAGAATGAGGTAGATGATAAATAAGGACGCGCGATTGTTCAGTGGTATAGAGCAGTGGTCTCGTAAATGGAAGGTCACGGAATCAAAACCAAGTCGACGTGTCAGTGCCCTTTGGTAAGGCAATATTTCTCCATACCAAGTCCCATGGTTGCTTATTTAGCAGTGAGGTAAAACCAACAAATAACCAAACCAACCAACATAATTGGAATATCAAAATCAAAACCTCTGATTTCTCACATCATACTGTTATATAAATATTATTCTATATATATATATATAGAACAATGCAAGCAGTGTGGATTTAAGAGTGGGGTGTCCCCCCCCCCCGTCTACTTCATCTTTCGGCAGCCACACACTGACACACTGACACAACTACCATGGTAACTGGGCTCAACAGCTAATCAAAATCAAGGTATCCATGGTAGTTACCATTGATGGCAAAGTTACCATCAATAGGGACTTTTAGATTTGCACGAAAACAATGTGGATTGCTACGGTCGACGTCCTTTTAATGCACTGCCTTGAATGGACGTCACATGTATCAGTCCACGCAAATCTAAAAGTCCCTAATGGTAAGTTTTGTGCGACGGGGTCCTGGTTCCCTAACACAGAAGTTGCAATCAATCGCGAAATGACAATGGCCAATCAAGATCATCGTTGCATGCACACATTGATCAAAAGGCTGAACTTTCACCATTTAGAATCGTTGTTAAATTTGCATTATTGTATGAGAGGTTTTGTTCCTCGTCTCTTTTTTTGCTTTTTGTTTTGTTGTTGTTGGCAGTACCGTAGCATGCATGTTTATCTTAGGTATTGTGGGTATCCCTCTATTTCAAAACATCCACTTCGCAAATGAGGAGAAATGCATAAAGCAAATGTCCTCAAGGAATGAACAATAATAGTAAATATTTTTTATTATAATATCCAGTACCTACCCAGTGCTGCGAGTACGGTGGCACACCAAAGTACCTCCCCAAGGAGCGCGACTAGGAACAATATTCCTCCAAAACGAGGTCCATATTTTATCTGGAAGGGGTCAATCATTGTGACGTATTCTGCTGCTCTCATCTTCTTTGCAAAGAAGAGACCGTCTATCAAGATCAATAAATATATAAACATTGAAAGCATGTATTAAAGGAGAATTAAGCCCGACAAAATACTAGCTCACAATCTTATTATAAATTGTGAGCCAGTTGAAATTGAAGCTGTTATTTGGTTACTTAGCAAGGAAGAAAATCATTAAAAAGTTTTCAGTTCCTTGCAAGCCATTCTCCCATGGGAGTCCCCATTTTGATTGCAAAAATAATGACAGAGTAGTATAAAGTTGTGAGATAATTACTGACCTGTTTTATGTACAGGACATTTACCTGTGAAATGCATGACAATAGTTTTATAATCATACAATCTTTGTTTGTTTGTAATGCATTCAAATGAATGGATGTTCTGTCAAAAAGTATATTGGCAAGCTATTTGGTTAGCTGGCCAGAGGAGACACCTCGATGCGTGTGATAGAACAATACAAATTAAAAACGGACAGAAGCTAGACTATTCATCGCTATGCCCAAGATAGAAGTGCAGGTTGGAACGTCACCATCAATAAAGTCACATATACGAACAAAAAAGAAAGAAAAAAAACATGAAAATGAAGAAAAAACAACAACAACCAGGCATTAATTTTCCTATTAAAGAGGAAAGCGTGTTGAGACATGCGTAAATTCGGTGAGCAGATAGATCGTTCATTGAATATACAATATATCGAAGAAGAAATTGATTGTAAAGTTTAAACTCACTGACGACAAAGCTCAGACTGTATCCAAGGGGAGCTTGTGCCCACAGAACACCTCTGCCTGGTGTAAAGACTACTTCAGCTGTTCCATTGATGAAACCACCTCCTATCCAGGTTGCTGAAAAATAAAGTATCATTTTGATGGCGTTTAAATAAATGTTATAAGAATCGGAGGGGGAGGGGGTAAGGGGGATGGAGCACCGTCCCCTCCTGTTGTCTATTTCTTCTTCTTCTTCTTCTTCTTCTTCTTCTTCTTCTTCTTCTTCTTCTTCTTCTTCATCATCATCATCATCTCCTTCTTTATCTTCTTCTTCTTCGTCCTCGTTTTCTTCTTCTTTTTGTTATTGGAATTACGGTGGGGTACGTGAGCCTCCTGCGGATTTGTTTCAAATGTGCGACACGCCATCACTATGAAACAAACAATACATTTCATTTTAATTCGTATATCGAATAGCAAGTTGCTTAAGATCTCACAATAGATGACGCATCTATCCAAGATCTGCCAATATTTATTTTCCTAGTAGGAGCACCTCCCCCTTCTCCCTCCAGCCGTATCCATCTCACACTGAGGGTCCGACCAGGGGTCGTCTCAAACTTACCAACCAGCGTGAAGAAACCGACAAACCAGCCAATGTCCCGATTGGCCACCATCACATTCTCTGCCTTGTCCCCTCCCTTGGTCTTCCGTGAGGCCCATAGCCCAATGACCAGGATGACGAGATAGAATACGACCATGCCGACAACGCCGCCCCAGTGGACCGCCATCTTTGCGATGTTATGTTGAGAGAATCGGTGATTAAAGCTTCTGTCATTTTCAAAAAAGGAAAACAAATGGAAATATTAAACGGATTGTTAGTATTAATTTTATTGTTAGGAAATACTATATACAACAGGTTGGAAACTCTCAGGGAAACGTAGTGCGGAAGGAAATGGGAGAATAATAGTTGCGTAGCTTAAAGTTCCTCATTGCTGTCCTACCTTTTTGATATTCTTGCAAAAGGTTGGAAAATGTCTCCGCCGGGAATCGAAACTGGGTCCCTGGCTTATGAAGATAAGCCAATGTCTCCGTAAAAGGGAAGTCTACCCAGATATTAGTTTAGTTTAGTTTAGTAAGTTTATTTAAATAGAAGCAGATAAATGAGTTCAGTGAAAGTTAGAGCAAAAACAGACTAAAAATAACAAAGTTATGAATTGTTGAATGTGCAATCAATCAAACACAATATAGCAAGTCTGTGGCGTATCTTTCGAGCTCCCCTCCCATTTGCCATGTACTAAAGATATTTCCCTTTAGTGCAGCGGCTTAGCAAGAAAATTGTGCACTTTTTGAGAAAAGCATGAAACTTCCAGCATAGTTTGCTTTCACCATAAGATTTATTTTCAGATGTGGAGGGAAGTCAGATTTGACCTCTGATGACCCTGAGAGGTCAAATCCAAAATGGCCGCTAGTCCGCATGGTCTAATGTACAAACACGCTTAACTTTTGAACCAAATACACCAGAAAAACGTTTAAGGTGTCATTTCCAACTAACTTGGGGATGCCAATTCATTTGGTAATACTTTTGAGATCACCTGAACTCAGGGTTTTGCATTTAGGTCAAGGTCAAGGTCAAAATTGACTAAAAATAGCAAGTTTTGAATGGTTACAAAAGGTTAAATCCCCATTATATGTCATTTGTTCTCCCCTATGTTCTTAAATTTATTAAGGAATGGTTCCCCTGCCGAGTCCTCCACCTTAATCCTTTTCAGTTAGTTTATTTCACAGTTTGATGTGACCTCTGATGACCCTGAGAGGTCAAATCCAAAAAACCTGTTCATTACCACAGCTATAGATATCCACATGTATTTAGCACTGTCCACAACTTATGAATATCCTAATGGTAACGATCAAAATCTAACAGTCTCCAGAACAAGAGCACAATATTCAGTGCATCCTTTCTTGCAGCGACAGTGGATTACTCATGGCACAATTTTGATGCTTCCGGGAGACTGGTCCAAAGAGGCTGCCACCCAGTTTCGTTTGTCCAGCCTAAGTCAGATGGCTCTGGCATCTCTGGATTCTTGGCCAATATCTGGTTCCAACAGTTGGCCTGGTAGCAAGTGCGCTTGAAGTGCTGCTTGAGTGCTGCCTGGGTTGGAGGAATGTTCTCCAGGTTTCTAGACTTCTGTGCGAAGAGCTGTTTCCTGGCATCATTCACTAGGTACATGTATGCTCTCACTGGTTCGGTCGTATCAGCACCACAAATCGCTCTGGCAGTAACATTGATCCTTCACTGACCGCCCTAGACATGTACAGGAGTTCACTGAAGGAATCATTCACCTCTGGGAAAGACTTCTAAGTTTTTCCTCTGAACACCCGGTGAACGCATGAAAGATTGGGAGAGGCATACATCTTTTATTACTGACGGGGGCTCTTTTTTTATACAAATATCCATTGAATTGGTACCTATGATACTCCTCAATTATTTGCTATTTTTTCATTATCATTTCAATCAGCCTTTTCCCTCTTACAAATTTACAAGCTACATAGCTGTTACTGGCCTGTGTATATAATATATACGCATACAACACTGATCTTTATGATGTATTTAACGTGACATATCTTCTTCTCCCCTTGCAAATGTAAAAGAAATAAGGTTATTTAATAAAAGGACCATGCGACAAATAATCATTGTGATACAAATTGATGAAAGGATTTTTTTGAATAAGCACTGCTATTCACCCGAATCTTCTTTGTAAAAACAACTTTTACAAATCTCAGCCATGCTTACTGAGTCTAGACGTTCCATTCAATTTAAAATACCCATCACATAATACACTTCTCCTAATCTCAAAGTGATCTTACAGCACAGTGGCAGAATTGCATGGCTGAGATTTATAAAAGTCGTTTTTACAAAGAAGATTCTGGTGAAAAGCATTGCTTATTCAAAAAAAATCTTTGCATCAATTTGTATCACAATGATTATTTGTCGCATGGTCCTTTTATTAAATAACCTTGTTTTCTGTTTTGTTTACAGAGGGAGAAGAAGCTATGTCACGTTAAGAAATCATAAAGATCAGTTGTATTATGCGTTAATACATATGATACCAGAACAAATGTTGATTATCAGAATGTCATTTTGGAATACCTCTATACAAATACCACATTGCCTTTAGCCGGTATCAGTATAAGTATGATCCAATATAAAGCTATTATTCTTTATTTAATTCAGTATAATGTTTTTCCTTAAAAAATAGTTTTGCTATTTTTTTAGGGTTGAGACGCTAAGAAATGGTTTCAAATGTACATTACACGAACCCTGAACCATTGCAAAATGATGGTGGTTCTCTCTCTTTCTCTCTCTTTATTTTAATCATGTACATGTATTATCAACTACATATAAAGCAGCAACCAAAAACTTAGGGTTATCTGAGATAGGTGAAAGTAAGAGTTAAAAAGAAAGTCATGCTAAAACGGCGCTTCCCCCCGCCCCCTGAAAAAAATAAAATAGATTAGTAGTCCTCCTCTCCAGCATCCCCCCCCCGCTTTAATATCACATTTTCACTTGGCAGCCCAAAGTGGGGGGGGGGGGGGCACCAAGAAAAAAGGGCACTTTCTGGAGAGAAAAAAGATCACCTACAAAGGGAAATGATCAAACAAAAAAGAATTGCAGTATATCAAGGTAACGATGTACTTAAGAAAGAGCTACAGAAAGAGATCAATCGACTAATTGTACATTGTAAGAAGGTTCAGAGAGACAGAATTGAAAAGAGCTTTCAAGATAATGATACTAGATCTGATTGGAAAACTATGCAAAACCTGACAGGGTATAGGCAGAAGAAAAGCCAACTAAATGTGCAGTCAAGAGAGTTTGTTGAAGAGCTTAACGAATACTATTGCAGGTTTGATGACGAACATTTTAGGAGTATTGAATGAAGATATTGTGGCTGCCTTACAAAGTAACGCTAACGATGATAATAGGGAGAATAACATATGTGTATTAACAGAGCACGATGTGAGAAGGATGTTTGCCCACTTCGCAGTGAATAAATCTGCAGGCCCGGATAACATGAGCAATAAAGTTCTGAGTGTTTGCAAAGATCAACTTGCATGTGTGTACACTAAATTATTCCAGAACTCGTTAAATCTAGGCATCGTACCAACTTTGTGGAAAACCTCAACAATAATACCTGTACCAAAAGGCAATAAATGTACAAAGACTTTAGGCCTGTATCCCTAACTTGCAATGCCATGAAGTGCTTAGAAAAGCTTGTTTTGAAAAAGCTAATGAGTCAGGTCGGTAAGCATCTCGACCCACTGCAGTTTGCATACCGCAAAAACAGAGGTGTCGACGATGCAGTGTTATGTTTCCTTCATGGGGCTTATAAACACCTAGATATCGGTGGGAGTTTTGTAAGGGCACTCTTTGTAGATTTTTACACAATTATGCCTCACCTTCTTGCTGCCAAGCTTTTGGAAATGAATGCTTCTCCCCAACTTGTTCTATGGATTCACAATTTCTTGCTATCAAGACCTCAGGCAGTAAGATTGGGAATGATTACATCTTGTACTAAGGTAATTAGTACAGGTGCCCCGCAGGGATGTGTTTTATCCCCCGCCCTTTTCTCCCTGTTTACTAGTAAAATTATCAGTGACAATGAAAATTGTAATATCATAAAATATGCTGATGATATGGTAATCACTGTACATCTTACTGATGAGAATGTAAATGACTATGTCACAACGGTGAAGGCTTTCATTGAGTGGTGTGATGCGCACTACCTCCACTTAAACGTATCTAAAACAAAGGAAATGATGTTTGACTTTCGAAAAAAATCAAATAAACACGATCCCTTATTTCTTCATATTAAGGAGGTTGAACAGGTGAAGGAGTACAAGTACCTGGGAAGCATAGTTACCAACACTTTAGACTGGACTAAAAACACACAAACATTGTGTAAGAAGGGAAACCAAAGACTCTACTGTCTGGGAATGATGAAAAATATTCACGTTGACAGAACAATTCTGGTTTTGTTCTATCAGTCATTAATACAAAGCATTTTAACATACAACGTGATTTGCTTTTACGGAAATGGGACCCAGAAAAACCGGACTCGCTTAGACCGAGTGCGGCGAGCGGCACAGAGAGTGATAGGGCATGATTTGGCTGATATAAACTGTTTGTTCGAACAGAGACTCATGTCCAAAACAAACAAAATCATGAAAGATCAAAGTCACCCTCTCAACACCCAGTATTCTTTCAACCGTTCTGGAATTCGATTAAATGTCCCACGCACAAACCGAGCACGCTTCCGCCAATCCTTCGTACCAAACTCTACCCACATGTTCAACCAATTCGTTAAGAGATAATAATAATAATAATAATAATAATAATAATAATAATAATAATAATAATAATAATAATAATAATAATAATAATAATAATAATATTAATAATAATAACAATAACAATAATGATCATAATTATTTGAATTTATAAACTGTTATCATAAAGCTATTTCAAAGATATTTCTAATCATCTAATCAAGTTTAACAGTTTTGGATGGCTTAAACAATTTTGTATTATTTATGTGAAATGACGAGATCTTTTCTGTTCTGAAATTGCTTGCTTAATTGTTCATATGTTCATATTATTGTACTATGTTTCTCGTATCATTGTAATGCTGGTGGAAAGCATATTTCCACATTGTGGACGAATAAACTCAAATCAATCAATCAAATCAAATTAAAAATTCTAATTGACAATAAAGTAGGTAAGGTAATGAAGTTGGTATATTGCAGTAAACAAAGAAATATATGTGTGCTTT